CTAAAAGAGGGGCCCTTTTTCGATTTTTTTTGGAATTTATTGTCTATATATAGGCCGAGTTCGTTTTTGTCATCTTTTTTGTCGATTTGCTCCGAAATTTTGACAGGCACGTGACTGGATAAGACAGTTTCAGTTCACAAATCACGTGCCTGTCAAAATTTCGGAGCAAATCGACGAAAAAGATGACAAAAACGAACTCGGCCATAGTCTGGCTAGCGAAACGGCGAACTGCAAAAGAATTTGCTAATTTGCCAAACTTGACGGAAATAATGATAAACAAGTTGGTGACATTTTTTTTTTTGCTATATGGGCATGTGTAGTATTTTGAAATAGAAAAAAATCCGGCAACATTGCAAAATGATAGATGTGGAGAGGCGTGATTATTCAGAGGTATGATTCTATTGGTTAGAGTCTGAACGACAGCAGGCAGTGGCGTGGTTATTGGCGAAACTAAAGAATTTATTTTTCTAATAATTTTATTGGTGTTTCCGGTGCCACTGAACCGAAAGACATGGCTGTCATCAGGTGGTGTCAGTTGAGGTGTCAGTGAATATTTTTAGGTCACGCCCCACTTTTCTTCCCCCTTTCGTCTCTACCAAGTTACCACTTGCCAGACATACTGTGTTTGTTGTTTATTTATTTTGGATTTGTTTTTGTTGCGAAATGGCGTCCAATGTCCAATGAATAGGTGACGCCCTCTCTTGATAGATAATCAAATTATACATTTTTATAACCATTTTTTTTTTAAAGAAAAACGTATTTTTCATAGTTTTCTATTGTATTTATCAATTTAAAACTGATACCACCACAGAACTGAGAAACAAACCGTGAATTCGCCTTGGAACACTGGGCGCTCGGAACATCTTTCGTCTTTTTTCCTCTTGATGAGAAGAACAAGGACAAAAAAAAAACAATAAATCACTTCCAAGCGTCTACTTGAAATTTAAATGGATGTCATACTAATGTCAATTGTCAAACAACAACGTTGCCACTTGTTGCGTTCCAAATTCAAATATTTGAGTTCATTTCTAAATATAATAAATTTCAAAAGAAACATTATTATTTCTCACAACTTACTTGTATTTCTACACCTTTCAGAATGTATAGGATTTTTACGCATTTAGGATGACGTCACATAGTAAATTTCTGCTGCCAACCTAAAAAAAACTAAAAGTACTTAGGGCGGGTATTATAAAACTACTTTGTGAGTTAACTTAAAGTTAACTTCTGGAATTACATGTAATTCAAAAAGTTAACTTCAAGTTAACTGTCGAAGCAGTTTTATAATACCCGCCCTTAGAAGGGGATCAATTCGAGATGTTTTTGGTTGGCAACGGCGTGCGACGTTGCATGACTTGTATGACATGACATTTTCATTCCGTTATTTTTAGCCAATGAACTAAACAAACACACTGGAACGGTGACTACATAATGTTTTTAACGCAACGGTTTGTGCCAGGAAGGACAACAAACAGGAGGGATTCGCATCTCTCTCTGCACTATGGCGGCTATCGAGAACAGCTGTTTGAAGTGTTTGGATCATTGAGGTTAGGAATATGAAGAAGCTCTTCTCTCTTTTACATTGATCGCAATGAGTGCGAGCGAGACAACAATCCCTCTGTATTGCTGGGTTGCATATATCAAAATTCGGCACACTAGCATAAAGCAGTGCGCTCGTTCCAGTGTTTGTTTGGTTCAATGTTTTTAGCTGTCGTCAGAATTATTGACACATGACATTCTGGTAAATTATAAGAAAAAAAAAAGCATTGACAACATTGTCTGTTCTTGTTCGATGACTTCATCCTAAATATAACAGGTTTGTTCGAAGTTAGTTTAGAATCAGTTCTGAATTGAACTGCGCATGCGCATTTGTTTATTTATGTTCGATATGAACAAATGCGCAAGCGCAGTTCAATTCAGAACTGATTCTGAGTCTAAGTCCGAACAAACCTATTATAAAAATACAGGGTGTATCATCGAAAACCTCATCGATCTATGTAATAAACTGTACCCAGGAAATTTTTTAACTAATAGGTTTGTTTCTGCAGAAATCCCAAACCATTCAAAGTGAATTTCATTGGTTGAAACTAGTTTTCTGACTGCTTCTGACTGTTTTCAACCAATGGGATTCGCTCTGACTGGTTTGGGATTTCTGCAGAAACAGACCTAATATCAATGGGGCAATCCGGCTGAAATATTTTCAAGAGGTGGCACTTCTGGTTATACCGGAAGTAGACGTCAACTTGCTTATTTTAAAAGAGACACCCTGTAAATGTTTGCATATTTGTACGTGCTACGTAAAATTCTGAGCAGATTTCATAATTCATAATGTGATGTACCCTATAAGACTATCCAAGATGCTGTCAAACTTAAATAAAAATGTCCGCCAAGATGCCAAGAGGCACACAAACACTTTGTTTTCTTGTCAAAGTAATGTGTTTTGGATAGGCAACTAAGCCTAGTACTCATAATAGTGAAATTCGCCCTTTTTTGACATTGCTTCGACAATTTGACGTTTTATGCGTGAATCAAACGTCAAATAGTCGAAGAAATGTCAAAAAAGAGCGAATTTCCCGAGTATGAGTACTAGCATCGATTAAAGGCGATTAACCGTTCGGTCATAGTTGACAGATAACCAATGAAGCAAACGTCATTTGTCAACCAATCGGTGATAAATGACGGTAAATGCATTGTTCATCTGTCAATATAACCGATTGGTTATTCGCCATTAATCGACTTAGGCTTAACCCGAAGGTGCTGTCAAACCTAAATTAAAATGTCCGCCAAGAGGAACACAAACTCTTTGTTTACTTGTCAAAGTCACGTGTTTTGGATAGGCTAATACCTAGTTCAACTGTTTTGAAAATATTGACAGTCGAAAATTGACTTTTTGCAACTTTGACGGGCTGTAAATCCTAAACGGTTAATTTTAGAGGAAAACCGATTTTACTTAAACTGTCATTTGACACCAACTTTAAATTTAATCCATGATTAAAAATTCCAATTAAATTTAGCTTCCGATAGCTTAAAAGACGTTCTTAAGGGTCGGTTTCTCAATAGGAAGTCATCCCCAAGTTAAGTCTATAACTCCAGAGTAAACATTGCAACTGGGCACGTTTACCCTGGAGTTAAAACCAACCCGAAGGTGATTCGCTATTGAGAAACCGACTCTAAGGGCTGGTTTATTCACCTTCTGATAAACTATCGGTAAATTTATCTTGCAGATAGTTATCAGCAAGTTTATTTGAAAATTCAAAAGCCTAGAATAGGAAAATTATAAAAAGAAAGAGACCTCCAGGCATAGGTAAAGTCCTTAAGGTTTCTTATATGATTAAAAACGGATATATTTTCGCCTAACAAAATTCGACACCGATTATCAGTCTTAACTGATATTTCCATCTATTAACAGGTATTTCTATTTAATACAAGTTAATGCCAACTACTTCCATGCAATAATAAAATATTTCCACATATTGTCAGGTATTTCCCTAGTATTATCACATATTACCAGACCAGTATTATCACATATTACCAGGCCATGCTATTAGGTTTATTCGGACTTAGTTCAGAATTAGTTCTGAATTGAAATGCGCTTGTGCATTTGTTCATATACCGAACATTTATAAACAAATGCGCATGCGCAGTTCAATTCAGAATTGATTTTGAACTAAGTCCAAACAAACCTAGAGACACACACTAAAATCAAATATTTGTCTCGCCAGAATTCTAGGTATTTACATATTATCCACAGGTATTAACATATATTTCCTAGATATTTACAAGTATTGACACATGTTACTTTAAATATTAACAAGTATTGCATAGTATTGACCACAGTATTGACATAATATAATAACCAGTGATTTGTATACCGATTAACAAGGTGAAAACCCCTCAAGATAAACCTATTAAACTTCATTGAAATCACCAGAAGCAGAAATATTCAACGAATCAATAATATACAGGGTGTCTCATTTGGAAAAACACGTATGTTTCGTTTATAATTAGGACACTATCACTTCTAGAGAAAAACTGACTACGTAACTGGAATTTGCATAGAATAATCTATAAGAACTCGTTGTCAACTTTTCAATCACTTATGAGGGAGACGACATACAAGGAGTATCACATAATGCAAAATAGTAGTACATTAAAATACAAGTTTCATAAGACGTCATTTTATCGCACGAGCCGTATATTAGAAAACGAGCCGGAGGCAAGTTTTCTAGAGGGCGAGTGCGATAAAATGTCTTATGAAACGAATATTTAATATTTTATACTATTTTTTCTATTTTGGTATTGATAAATTTAAAAAAAACAATTTTTTCTTGGAAATTTTATTTTCATTTTTCCTGATTTCATATGTTTAGGTTGGTAACACTACATGCCAAATATAGATATCTTCCATTGAAATTTCTATTTTAAAATCGCGAATGACAGTTCGGTGGTCATCAGTCAGCCAGTGTTACCAACCTCCGATAAGTAAAAAAGGAGTGTCAGAAAGAGCTTCTTTTCGAAACTACTTTAAGTGTCGAAAAGACTTCGATATGACACCAAAATAGAAAAAACATTTTAAAAAACACAATAACCCTTTTCACGTGGCTCCGGCTTAACAAACCGCAACATACCGCTCAAATTCGAGTGGTAGGTATCCATCACGTTACTTTGTAACCGGGTTAGAAAACGGTATGTCATTTCTCTAACCGTTTTGTAACCCGGTTAGTTAAACTGGAGCCACGTGAAAAGAACTCTTGTACCTATCTGAAAAACCAGAAGAGCGATGACAATTCTGTTGAGGGCATCTCTCGTTTAACAGAAAAGAAGCCAGATTTAGTCCTTATGTATCACCAAAATGAAACACCCTGTACAAGTCCTAAATGCCGCGAAATTTAAATATTTAGATTCACTACTACAGGCACTATAATTTCAGGAAAAACATAATCATATTTCACAGCTATTTATTATTTAATAAATAAATTCACATTATGTACAATTCATATCGGTAACCATTTAATGGTGGTAGTAAGCTGGAGCAGCGTAGGCAGAGTGAGCAGCGTAAGTAGCTGGGGCAGCGTAGACAGCTGGAGCAACATGACCATGACTGGCGTAGACAGTTGGGGCAGCGTAGCTGGCATAGGTAGCTGGGACAGCATGACTGGAGTAGACAGTTGGTGCAGCATGACTGTGGCTAGCGTATACAGCTGGAGCAGCATGGCTATGGCTGGCATAGACAGTTGGTGCAGCGTAGCTAGCGTAAGTAGCTGGAGCAGAGTAGACAGTTGGAGCAGAGTATTTAGCTACTACTGGGGCTGCAGCGTACTTGGCAACAACTGGAGCAACAACCTAAAAAAAATTTAATCAGCATCTTTCAAATAAAACAAAAATAACGTTGGTCCTACATGAGCATGAGCAGGTTCCTTATGTACGACAGCATTGAATCCGTTGTGTGGGTCAGCAGTGTAGTCTACGGTACGTTTAGTTCCATCGGAATCCACCAAAGAGTAGCTACCTTGGACGACATCACCACGACGAGTTTCTTGTTGGGATTTTTGGTCTCCGGTGTGAGGGTCGCTGACGGTGTATCCGTAGTCGTAGTGAGCTGGCGCAGCTGGCTCAGCTACGACAGCTTTGGCGTAAGCTACTGGAGCTGAAGCATAAGCTACAGCCGGTTGATGAGCTACGTAACCAGCTTGGGCTACAGCTACAAATGCAGCGAATACTACAAACTATAATAATAAATGTATTAATTATAAATAAAAATTAAACTTATTGTACAAATACCTTGAATGCCATTGTTAATGTAAGTAAAACTTAACTCTGAATTGATTCGGTAAAGATTTTGGTTTATATATATCAGCCGAGGAGGGTGTGGCACAATACGATTTTTGGAACCTTTCACTAAAGAATTGCGTGGTCCTTCCTATAAAGATAAATCTTAATTGATGGTCAATGTGTGGGCAAGGTCGTTCTCAACGCAAATTATCCGAAAATGTTAATTTTATGCAATGTGTCTTTTTTCTTAAGTAGAGCATTCAATGGAATTTAAACTAGTTTTATAAGAGATTTTTACATAAGAAGTTGGATTTTTACATAATAATAATTCATTTATTTATTTATATTGATTTGAAATTGCAAAGTTTTCAATTATTATTTATTGACAAAAATCCACCTTGAACCCGCTTCATGCCAGAAATTCGAAAAAGCGACTCTGGAAGAGAAAGTTGTATATAGAGAAGCCTGAACGCGGTAGGGCGCCACGACCGTAGCTTTAATTAAAGGGAAACGAGTGCCCCTTTAATGCGGGGGCCTCTATCTCGTGTGCGCGATTAAGGGCCTGTCAAAAACAGAGAAATTCATTTTTTCGCTTTCGTTCTCTAATTCCTTTTTTATCAGTTTAGGCGGCATTCATCTGCTCTGGCCCGTCCGGCCTGGCGCGGTCCCAGTTTTTTTTTATTTTTTCCCTGCTTCGGGTTCGCAATGAGAGAGAATGCAGATCCGAGATTGGGGGAGACAAGGGGAGGCACACCAGATGGGGACGCGAATTTGTCACCGAAAAAGTTTGATTGTTTTAAATTCCTTCCAGCGTACCTCTGCTGCTGGCTCGTTTTGCGAACGCTCGACATAGAGGGTTTTTTTAATTTTCCAACTTTTAAAAATGGCCTTTACAAATAATGTAATAATAAGCTTTTGAGAGTTACCTTTGAAATGTATGTTCAAATCCTGATGGCCAGAACGGAATCTGACAATCAGCTTTTGGAACATCGAGGATGCATTTCGTAAGCCGAATGGCATTCGTGAAATGTATAACTGAGGAACTTAACCAGTCCTCTAACAAATTTTGCACAGTCTATAGAAAATTTATGATATGTAATGAAACAATTTGCTCAAATATCATCAAAGATATTGTCACAACTGCCCGCTTTACGGAGGTGACATGGGGGGTTTGTAGGTTTGGGAGTTGATGGAGAGAATCTCGCTCAAGTTGTATAAAAGTGTAGATATATATTTTCCCAACAGTGTTGCCAGGTTATATTTTTATTTGTCAATAGATTACCAGTCTAAATATCAGTAGAAATCAGTAGACAGATAAGTTGCCTTGTTAAAGGAGTAAACCGTTAGGGTATACTCAATTAATTATTTTAACTACGTTTTTTCAAATCATTAAATCATTAGACTGTGTATTAGACTATGAAAACTTGCATTAGAAAATCAAACACCAATACTACTTATGAGAAATAGTTTATTAAGATTAAGACACATGAGATATTCCTATCAAATATGCACTACCTATATTATGGGATGCCCTATATTTGGTTCTATATTTTTGAAGAGTACAATTTCCCGATTCCAAAACTATATAATTTGTCTATATTTGGTTTAACCGGCTCCAACATATTTGCTTCTAAAAATTTTAAAAATACTATCAGAGAAACTGATTGCCATTTGCACGGCTATCCCTTAACTATCACCTAAAGGATATTAAATGTAGCTGAAGCTTTGAATATGACTTTTGTTTCTACAAGAGTCACATTCAAAGCTTCACATGGATTAAATATCCCGTAAGTTATAGCGATGCAAATGGCCGTAAGTACCTCAAATTTTACCTGCAGTTTTCAGCTGTACAGGTAGAATGGTTTACAAAATCAGTAGTAGGATAGTATTTTCACAATTTTTGGAGCCGAATATATGAAAAGCTGTTCAATCAAATATAGACAAACCATATATTTTTGGAATCGGGGCATTGAGCTTTTCAAGAATGAAATATAGGGCATCCTATTTCAAAAAAGCTGGAAGCATGCAAAATTTCACATTTCTGACATTCAAATTTTATTTCTGACCATGGTTTCTAAAAATTCAGCCAAAACTGTACGACTTTTGTATTTACATCTTTTTTCTACCTGTAAAGGTAAAGGAGGTAGGTGGGGTGTCAATATATAAAAAAACATCCTGTAAATAAGTGGATTATTGCGGAACTTATGGGTGAACCTCTGCGAGACGAGCGCAGCGAGTTTCGCAGCCATCTACTCACCAATATACCGTTGAATTGTTCAAATAAGACATTATTCACATGTAGTTTTTAAATTAATGAGAATAAGGCCCGAGTTACCCAATTCCCTAATTCTTAATATTTGTCCTTAATTCTTAAATCTTAAAAAGTTCAATTTATTTAACATTGGGGTTTTTAAGGATTAAGGCCGGGGTTATCCAATTCCTTAATTCTTAATTTTCGTTCTTAATTCTTAATCCTTAAAAACCCCAATGTTAAATAAATTGAACTTTTTAAGAATTAAGAATTAAGGACAAATATTAAGAATTAAGGAATTGGGTAACTCGGGCCTAAGAATTAAGAACGAAAATTAAGAATTAAGGAATTGGATAACCCCGGCCTAACTCACATTTGAGTGAGTCAGGTTAGTATTGTAATTTAACAACATATTGATGAATAGATGGCAGAGGTTCACCCATAAATTCCGCAACAATTCACTCATTTGTACTTGAATAACTTGTCACAATGTGTTACTAGTTTGGTAAAGTAACATTACTAATTCCTGTTGAAAGGCGAATTGACAAAAAGTGAATAATCATAATCTTATAAATTTTGACTTTAAATAATAAGTTATTTTTAAGTACAAATAAGTGGATTATTGCGGAACTTATGGGTGGACCTCTGCGGGACGAGCGCAGCGAGTTCCGCCGCCATCTACTTGCCAATATACTGCTGAACTGTTCAAGTAAGACATTCACCTGAAACATGTAATATTTAAACTAATGAGAATAACGCACATTTGAGTGAGTCAGTTTAGTATCGTAATTAAACAACATATTGATGAATATAGATGGCTGCGGAACTCGCTGCGTACGTCCCGCAGAGGTCCACCCATAAGTTCTGCAACAATTCACTCATTTGTACTTGAATAACTTGTCACATTATGTTACTAGTTTTGTAAAGTAACATTTCTAATTCCTGTTGAAAGGCAAATTGACAAAAAGTGAATAATTTATATAATAAGTTATTGTTCAAGTTTAAGTACGAATAAGTGGATTGTTGCGAAACTTATACTAGGTGGACCTCTGCGGGACGAGCGCAGCGAGTTCCGCAGCCATCTACTCACCAATATAGGTACTGCTGAACTGCTCAAGTAAGACAGTCACCTGAAACATGTAGTTTTTAAACTAATGACAATAACGCACATTTGAGTGAGTCAGTCGGCCATGCTACCCCTTTTTTCGTCCCGGAAAAATGCTATTCGTCCAAGTGTAGGTACCTACCTCTAGAAAAACAACAATAGAACATAAGCTCAAAGAAACACCTTCTATGTAACGAACACACTACGGCTAAAGTCTCTAGCTCATAGGAGTGGTACTTTTGCTCCTCTCTTGATGTTTGGTGACTAAAGTACAGTAGGTACTGGTTTCAAGTTGCCATCTCCCTGCCTCTGTAATAAAATTCCGGCCCGTCTTCGGAGGCATCAGTGTGGATTTCTGTCTCTAGTTTAGAGTCATTAATCGCAAGAATGGGCCTTTTAATCAAAACTTCTCTAAGTTTTTCAAATGCACTATTCTGAGATTCACTATGTGTGCAAAATTTCTGACATATATACATATAGCTATAGGTATAGCTATATAAACTGATAAATGGGGTAGTATACTATGTATGAAAATCAGTAAAAAACTGCTCGACGTTATTCTATAGGCTAAATGGTGATGGTATAGTGGAATACTAAATTAATTTCCAGCATAATGTCTATAGAATTAGTCAGAGAAAAACAAACTGTAATTTGAATTTAGCGCCACAGCGGCGACCAATCATATTCGTGCCGCTGACCATCTGGCAACGCTGCTCAAAATGCTTCAAAACGACAGCTGACTTCACTGACTTCAACAGTTCAACGACGTGTGGTGGTGTCGTGTGACCGTGCGTTCGGTATTTTGATGAGTTCTCCGAGCAAAAAACCGTTCGTTTATTTAAAAAGTGTACTCGGTGCAGGCTCATTCACGTTCGTTTATTGAAATTTCGAGCCCTCTGATACAGCGTTTAACTGCTCTGTACGCTCGCTGGCCACGTGATTACGGCTCCGCTTTACACGCTCTGCTTGTTCTCTGAGCAAAATACCGAACGCAAGGTGAATCGTGTGACATGTGATATTGTCGTGGTTTGTTTTGGCGTTAAAATTTGACGATTCGTTCTTGACGGTCAATGTCAGTGCACATTGTGCGTTCTCAAAACCGTGATGTGTTGCCAGATTGGAAAAACTACGTCACGAACTTTCATTTTCACGTAGGGGCGGGGCTAAGGGGAAATTAAAAAAAAAAATTCCAGTGTATTGTGGTTTTTACAAAGCAACTGATAACACTAAATAGTACGATACGTCGAGTATATCACTATGCAGTAGTTAAAAATCACTTGTATACTACCCCATTGTCGTATCTGATGTAGGTACCGTCAAACGGGGTTACTTGGGACACAGGGGTAACTTGGGACATTTGACAACGGTGGAAAGTTTTGACAGTTTCCAACAGCGGGGTTTTCAAAACACCGTTCGTTTTTGTTCGTGTTTATCAACTTCACGTGTTTAAAAGAGATATTTATCACATTTTTATTAAATTGACTCAAAAGTAGGTAATTTATATATTTTTTAAAAACCATGGTTTTTTATTCAAAAAAATAGGTCGCAAAACTTTGCGCGCCAGGAGGTTATGTTTTAAAATTTTTACAGGTATGCTTCTGAATATTGTTAACTTGGCTATTTTCTACTATGTTGCCATGTGTATTTTTTGATTAGGATTTGTTTCTAAATATTGACAAGCAAAATTATAAACAAATGTCTGATGTGGGGTTAAATTTTACCCCATTAAAATTAAAACAAATTCTTACGGTTTAACAATAAGGATTTTTTAGCGACTAACCGTTTGTAACCGTGTTATAAACGGTAACTGAAATTAGGCCTTTTCGGAAACGCTTATCTTATTAACCGGATCACCAGCTGATGTACTATGTCTTTTTTCAATCGTGTTCATTAAAGAAAGACAAAAAACAAATAGCTGGTGATCGGGTTAATCGGCTAAGCGTTTCCGAAAAGGCCTAATTTCAGTTACCGTTTATAACACGGTTACAAACGGTAAGCCGCTAAAAATTCCTCAATGTGTCCCATTTTAACTTATAAAAATAAGTTGGTTTTTGTTTTCAGCAATGCTATAGGCGATAAGTTTAATGTTTATGCAAAACAATTATGCGTGAAAATATTATTACTTACCAGTTATATATTATTTATAAAGAATAAATGTTCACTTTTTTACTCAAAACTTTGGTTTTCTTCTTTTTTTTAGGTTTTATACAGCTAAAACTTTTTTATTTTGTTTCTTATTGTCCCATGTTGCTTTAGGAAGCGCCTAACTGAAGAATTAACGAAAATTTCAAAATGTCCCAATTTACCCCAACTTCCCTAGTAACTTGGGACAGCCACTAATAAATTTTTTTTTGGCTTTGTATATTTTTTTTACTATTAATTAGGTTTATTTTCATTGGAAAATAGCCTGACTCAATATTTGAGCATGATTTAGAAATGATTTTCCTAAATTTATCAAAGTTATCCAAGCTTAAATGTGAAAATTGTCCCAAGTAACCCCGTTTGACGGTACGTTTCGAAAAACAGGAAAATTTTGAACAGCTGAAGTTTTTGTGGTACCAGGTCTTACTCCACATGAACTAATTTCATGTCCAAGATATTCGACCATATTTCGAAAAAAACAACATTTTGAGAGCCGCAGGGTAACTGCCGCATTTCTAAATGTTTCGAGGACGTCTCCCAAAGCCAGCAATCCTGAACTTACTTTCGGCGATGGTACCAGAATCTCATCCATGTAGGCTAAAGCTGTCGAAAACCTCATCGAGCCTAAGATCTGATTAATGGTGCGTTGAAACACTGCTGGAGCGTTGACTAATGTGTATGTCCAAACGGCATCCTCAGATATTCATACTAGCCATCTGGTGTTACGAACGCTGTTTTCTCTCTAGAATTTTCTGCCATAAAAATTTGGTGATAGCCGCTTGCCATGTCCAAAGTGGTAGCTGTATCCTTTAAGTACTTCTAAATGTTCATCCACCGTTGGTAGTGGATAACAATCCTTCACGGATTTCACGTAAGAGAACCATTCTTTTTCTTTACAAGAACAATTGGACTCAAATATGGTAATTTTGACTTTTTTATAATATTAGCCGAAAGTAATTCGTCAATTATTTCACGGACATTTTCTCTCTCATGCACTGCGAGCGTTCGATTGTTTCAATACAAATCACACCGGACTGATCGAAGTAATCGGACAGACGTCGTTCAGAGGACACTCCTAAAAGTCCTAGCCCAAAGATAAATCAGTAGACCTGGCAACACTGTTTCCCAAATATGCCCTTACATATATGCTAGTCCTATAGGATGCATGACACTTCCAATACTGGGGTCCTTATAGGGAGCCACACGTCAACGCTGCTTGGGGGACTGTCGGTTAGTTATCTTCACCCTTATGCCTTGTCCAGAGGAGCTTTCCCAACGAGAGGTACCGGCGCTGGACAACGATAAGGCTGAAGATACCCAGAGGGGCTTTCCCAACGAGAGGTACTTGCACTGGGGAGACTTAATTCCAGAGGGGCTTTCCCAACGAGAGGTCAAGTATGCCTTTACTGCGGCTCGTGGCACAATTTATATCCGTTTATTGCTTGTCTCATCATAATTAACCAGGTTAATTATGACCTGTGTTTTGTCGATTCGTAATAAACTCATTATTGAAATCATGTACAGTGTGTTATTTTCCCAAGCAGGCTCGGTGTTGACAATATGAGCAAGTATTCATGTCAGGATTTCAAAGTCAAAAATAACATTTTCACTTTGGGCTGTTTGCTGCTTGCCCTTTTGATAAAGCCTGGAATAAAATTTCTCTCCATAAAAAAATCAAGGAATAGTCAAAAGTCTGGAATAGAAACGAAAAATTATAAATATTTCCTTAAAACTCTTGTCTCTATTTCTCTTCTTTTCAGTTTCAATTTTTGACTATTCCAGGCTCTTGAATCTCTGCTTCAATCCAAGTTTCTTTGTATAGAGGAATCAAAGGCCCTAATTAAAATTTCTTTTCATAAAAGAGTCAACAAGACACATAGTCAAAAACCTGGAATAGAAAAGAAAATGATCAAGTTTCCTTAAAATTCTTTTTTCAAATGAATTTCCTCGCAAAAACGTTAAAAACAAACACACATACACACACTTAAATAATTTATTGATGTCGCGCCATATATCGGCAACAAGATGTGCATTTTTTAGTGGCAACCGTACACTACAGGTGTGTTCCTAATATTCCGGAGTGTTTCGGACCCCTCCGGGAGCCCGGGAAATGGATTGGAAAACTTCCTACCCATTGATTTGTATTCCTTTTGCGTCATTTTCCCGATCCCGCTGAGCTCACATATTCTCCCAGTAACTTAAATGCGCGTTTGCAGAGGTCCCTCAAGAACCATCTTTTGAACGGGAATATTATAAAATTCTCTCATTAATATTACTTATCTTGGGTGTGACTCGATACGTCCTTGCATGGTTTTTAAAACCTTTCACTGATTAGATGCTCAGATTATTTTGGTTTATGGTTCGGACATTGTGTGTTAATTTAATGATCTAGTTTAAATCTTGACCTAGACCTGAAATAATCATTTTGATGGTAAATTTTTAATGTTCAATATTAGTAGGGGAAGAAAACAAATTTAAGATAACTACATTATGTTTCCCCTGTAAGTTTTGATGGATAATTTGCCATATAGCCATGAAATAATAATAAAGGCCTCTATAGACATGCAAAGTACGCTTTAAAAATAAGAAGAGAGCGATGTCACCCGCACACAAAATGAAAAGTAACTGCTTATCACATTTGAACCTGCCGTAGTCTTATTTCCATCCCCCGAATCATTTGCCATTGGGAGCCACTCTAACGTATATTGTTATGGGGTGCTTGCGAAAACTTTCAGGTTATTATAATTTTGTTTTACATGGGAAAAATAAGCATATTTTTTTTGGCTTCATATAGGGGGGGATCCAATCTGATTTTTGAAGATAGTTATTGGATACAAGATTTAGAAAATGAATGGGAAATAGTTTATACTTTGAAGTACCTAGGTACTAATGAACATTTCTAAATGGCCCTTGAACTACCTTAAGAAAATTAAGATTCAAATCAAGAAAAACCAACATCAGAATCTGATTTCAAGTTATGTTAGTAGAATTCAATCCTATGGACAGTTTTTGAATAATCATACAGTTTCCTATTATATGTAGGTACAGTTTTCTATATTTTCATATGGTTCTCCATTTGTAGGTCGATCGAGTGTGGGTACGCCACTGGTATTTTCTTGTTTTTGAATAACCCGTCAACCTTTCCATAGTTGGTATGGATTCAATCCTATATGTACAGGGTGTTTCTTAATACCGGTTGCCCAGGAGATAACTTTCCGGCTGCCATTTTTTTATTTGTTTATCGATATCAACAAAACTTGGTGGGAATGATATTCTAACCGAACGCCATTTTTATGCATTTATGACAGGTTT